TACTTAAAATTAATCATAATAAAAATCTATATATAATCATTTCGAGTAATATAAATATTATGTATTATATTATAAATAAGTAATATTAAAGAAAGAGAAAGAGAAAATATGTATAATTATTCTCAAGTATGTAGTGAATAAAACAAGGAAAGAAAAAATAAATAAATAATTATCAATGTTTTCAGTGATAAATAGAAATTAAGATAATGCGTTTAGTATCTAAGCAATTTTATCAAATGTTTAGAAAATTATTTCCATATTCGACTATGATGTCTATTAACATGTATAAAAAATCCGCAATGCGTCATGGATAATGCAGCTAGATAAGACAACTTCGTCGCAATGCTGATGTTTGTAGGAATGAAGAATTTAGCTTGCACCGGCAAATTTATAATCTCACGTAAAATTACGAGTCTTCTTACGTCCGTATTCAAAGTTCTCTGTTTTTTAGTTTAACAATTTAAACAATACACTTTAACTTCTAGTTATCAGTATGAAGTATTAAATATACTTTACAAAGGAACGTTTATAACCATCCTTTTTCATAATTTCCACGAAGGATTTTTTTTAGATTTCAACAAGATTTTTTTTTTAATTTATTGTAGAAAAAACTTAAATAAAAGACTGTATTCTACTTTTTATATGCAAGCCTGTAAAAGTTTCTCGATAGTTAATTTTTTATTATATTTGATTCTCTATTCGATTTTGTGAAAATTACATAGAACCTATTATGTAAGTGTATCTTGTAAGTGATTGTAGTTACATTGTAGTTACAAGAATTGACCAATCGTAGTCGAACATGAGGAGAATATTCGACTGTTTGGTTAATTCTTCTACTATAGTTACAACTACGCTTATACAATTATAGAATGGACTTAATAATTAGTTAACTATGTAACATGGACATAGGAAAATTATGGTTGACATTCAGCTTTTTAAATTACTCCGAGGGCAATTAAAACCAATCTTCTTAATTCTGGGTTTAACACGAACCGTGAATATAGAGAGTAATGAACACAAGCATTATTAACGCTCTATTTTACATTTATCCCATTTAATTTCAAGGTTTTGAATTCACATGTTAATATGAATGTGAGCTTCCGAATGCTGTATAAAAATAAAAGGTCGTTAAAACTGGCTTCAATTATTTTCTCATCGCTTGTTAATCTTGTTATCCCGGTTTTGAGCACGAGATTAAAATAAACTCGCGTTTGCGACTATGATTAAGTCAAAACAAAAAAATTTACAACAGGAAAACATAGAAGATATATGCGACGGAGACGAGAAGACGGTCATGCATTGTAAATAATTAATCAGTCACGTCCTGCGTTCGCAAAAATAGAACCATCCGGAGAGTATCGAATGCTAATCATCGCGATTTGTACAACTACACTATTAAATTTAGAAAGTCAAATTATACTCAATTTGAATTATCTTTAATCATTTCTGCTGCTATTAATATGTTGTTAATTTAAAACAATGGAATTTAACTTAAACAATTCAACTCAAAAATGTAATTATTAAATTTGAATTAAGTTTAGTTTATTATTCACTAAGTGGTATACATTAATATGGTTGTTTACTTTGAAACTAATCACAGAAATGGATCTATTTTTGATATTCATGGAAATTAAAAATAAAATTTTATTTAACTCAAGAGATTGAGTTACCGTTGCTTCTGCGAATCTAACAATGTACGCCTACACAATTGTAGAATAAACTTAACATTGCAGTTTCACGAAACATGAGAAATCACGCGAGCAAAAAAAGGTCAAATAATTCATATAAATTTAAAAAAAAACGAAAGAAAAATATCTATCATTTATTATTGCATTGAAATTCCCTTAATAAATGTTTACGAAGATTTATTACACTTTTAAATCTCAACGGAAATTTATCGAGTCCGGTAAATGGAACTTTCGACAATACTTGAAGAATTAATATTAAATCGAGCGCGCTCTCTCAATATTTCATAGATTATGATCTAGAGCAGCGGTCAATTACAGTTGGAGCACGTGATTCGCGATAGACTCGCAGTCAACTTCGCGGCTATTATCACGGCACGGTCGCTGTGACGGCGAGCGGCGTGGGCGAAAGTTGGCGCGCGCGAGATCGATCGTCGCGTTAAAATCGCGAGGAGATCGATTCACCTCCACGATCACCGGTACACGCTTTTTTTCCTCCCCTCGTCCTCTCACCGCCTATCCCTTCGAAGACTCCGCCCTCGCAACTGCGCGGTTAGGATCGCGTGTGCGTAAGTTCTGTAAGTTCTGTTTGCCGGTTTACGGGCGTTGCAGTGTAGGTTTCGAAACGAGGTTGTCTCGGAGAGCTATTTTAGGTTAGGATCCATCGAAGTCACTCCGCGGCGATTTTAAATCGATAACGCGTATATATAGGATCACTTCATCTATTCAGCAGCTCTCACGCTTCACGTTTTCTAATATCGAGAATAAAATCGATGTGCATAAATGCATTTAGACTTTGAAAAAGGTAGAAAATAACAGTCATAATGGGATGCAGAAAATAAAATATACTCGAAAATAACGAGAACAGATCTAATGCAAGATCGTTAACACGATCGTAACTTGCGCTGAGTTCAAAATCGCGACACCGCATAAACGCGCGGAAGTGCGATCGGTCGTCTCGACTTGTGTAAATGACGGACGAACGCAGTGTGGCAGCTTTTCATGAGATTCACGATGGTCAAGTTGTCGTCGCCACGATTCTACCGATTTCGATCTTTGCCTGTCACGAGAAGATTAGAGACAGCAAAATACGCCCGTGCACGGTGAAACGGACTTCCGGGTTTACTCGCGAGGAAAAGAATGAAGAAAAACGCGCACTCACATGGTGGGATTTCTCCGGACGGTATTCTCGATGTCACGGAGGATCTTCTCGGCGGCCGGGAACTCGTTGTCCACCATCGTATGAGCCGCATCACATCTCCCTCGTGGACGTATCAATCGACGGTGGACGCGCCAGTGTGACACACCACCCTTCGCGTTCTTTCTTTCTCGCTTCCACTCTCCGTCTGTCTATCGCTCCCTCCTTCTGCTCTACCACCCCGCACGGCGCGTCCCGTTGCGACGTATACGGCGGTGCGGCACTTTACTCTGCGGAAGCGCTATCGGAGCAGCCGGATGCAGCCGGAGTACGGCAAGCAGACACGCTCGGCTGCGCGCGGCGCGAAGTCAGCCACGAGTCGGGCCGGGCGGGCGCGCCGCCCAGGCTCGCCAACTTCACGCGGTCCCGGCCTCGCGCGCGTCGTTGAATCGTCGTTTACTTGCGTTTACCGCGCAGCGAATCGAATCCCATTTTGCACGATGCGCAAATTTTCCTGCAGGTCGATTTAATAGAAAAATTTATGTATATCTGTCTTGTCATTATATTATCATTACCTTTCATTATGAATAATTTTCTAAGTTTTTTTATATTTATAATCATGTATGTATATATATATAGACGATTATATATGAAA